AACTAATCAAGCACCATGCTAAGAGTACAACGAAAAATTATTAGAAGACAAACAACCAAATTAATGTAGTATAAGCCCAGATTATGAACTTTGATAAATGAGCGTCCTCATGCAAGGCCTGATGCAGATTCTAATTGCTTGAAAAGAAGCATTTAGATGAGGAGATAGATGTGAACAGTCTATAAATTAATTAAGTTTAGCACCATTTCATCATGAATGGTCATCCTTAGAAATTTACCTATGCCGACCACGGGCATTGTCCCTAAACCTGTCATCATGCATATAAAACGCCCCTGCAGTTGGCACAGCAAATGGTTCGTTCTCCTTCTTCTCTTCCTCATCCTCTCCCACAACACGATTCCCCTCCTGATTCTCTGTCATATCTTCCACACTCCCCTTGCCATCAACCATTGTTTCATTCAGCACTGTGGGTGCCATTGAACCCTCACCAGCTCTTTCCCCATTCCCTTGCACCTCAACTTTATTCTCTTCTACCTCCTGTTCTTCATCATCATCATCATCGTCATAGACCTCGTCTTCTAAATAACCTCCCTCTTCATCATCTACTTCCAATTCATCTTCATCATCATAGTCTGCCGCACCTCCCTGTCCATCGGATTCATCTGAGTGAATTCCAGTCCTCCGATCCATTCTCGGCCTATCATTCTCCACGTCTCCTTCCTCATCATCACTTGCGGCCTCTCGCCGCATAGCCAACGACCGCTTTACCTCCTCTGGATCACTCTCATACTCCAACTCTTCTTCACCCGCTGCAGCCATCAATTCAATCCACAAAAACCCAAAATCTTCACAACCTCAAAACCTACTTATGAAATTCCCAGTTACACCCAAATCCCTTTCCAAAATCAAAACCTTCTCCAAAACCAAACCACACGCAAATTTAAGATCACACTTGTTCAAAAAAGCAGAACCAATTCGAACCAAATGCTGCAAAATCGCAATGTGTGTCAGCAAGACAGAACGCGAATCCACAAAATCGAGAGAATCAAAACCCTAATAACAGAAATTAGAGGGAAAATTAGGGTGTTTTTTTTTTATGGATGGGATCTACAGTGGGTTATTTAGGAAACCCTAGATTTTTTTGGGGAAATTTGGTGTTGCGTCATAAATAGAAAAAAAAGACTTGTCGAAGGGTTTTTATATGGAGAGGGAGAGAGAAATCCTTGGCCAGAAAAAGCGGGCAGAACACAGAAAATCCGGTTCGTTCGAGTTTAGGGTGGTTACGGGAATAACTGGAATTCATTAGGGGTAGTTTGAGATTTGAGTTTGCTTTTCCTTGGAAATATTATCATTTAAGTATTGAAATTATTAAAATATTTTTTTTTTATAAAATAGTAGATTTTTTTACGAAAAATTATTTCAATATAAGTTTTTATTCTTTTTTTATATAACTTAACTTATCATTATATGATTGATTCTTTTTATTTATTTGTAACTTGTGATATTGAATATATCTATTTATTTAATAATATATAAAAGTTATATAAAAAATATATAAAAAAATTATCTCAATATTATCGTCATTTTTATTTAAAATTTATTTCAAAATAATAATTTTTTATATTTTCATAGAAACATCTTTTATTTTGTCATATGATTATCTCTTAATTTCAATAATTTATCATATTATAAAAAAATGTCTTTATTTTTATTTTTTTAGGATAATATAAGTAAAATAAAAAATTATCTCAAAATCTTGAATTTCAAAAGAAAATAAAATAATATTTTCTTATTATAGGACAGAGAAAATACTAATGAATAAATATTGTGGGAAATTTTATTAAGATTGTTTTTGTAATTTTAATATATGAATAACACTTTGGTTGTATAGTTTGTATTGAAAAAATGATTTTTGTAACTAAATAAAGAGCATTTTATTTTATTTTTTATGCTATAGAGAGCATTTTATTCAATATATCAAAATAATAAATATTTACAAGATTGGCATTTCAATATCTTGAGTTTCATGATTAGAAATGAAATTAGGAAAACAATAGCACAATCTTTTGCTCCCATGAAAGTCCAAGCGATGTTTAGCAAACTGGTGAGCAGCCTGGTTAGCCTGCCGGCTTACTAATAGAAAGGAGCAGTCTTTAAAAAAATGAAGTTTCAGCTTTGTTGGACTCAGTTATGTGACCCAAGCATGCATGATAGATAAGGGGA